ATGGTTCGAAAAGTAAAGAAGCGACTTGATCAAAACCCGCGTCGCAGTGGCCGATAAATGGCCCGTGAGCTGAACATATCGCAATATTCCATTCGGCAAATATTGAAAAATGAGTTCGGGGTAAAGCCACTGAAATTCCAGAAAGTGCAAGAACTTATACCGCAACAGAAAGAAAATAGACGCAAAAGAGCTAAAGAGTTTATTCGCTTGGCCGAAAGTGTTGAAATGCCGAATTTGATTTTCTCCGATGAGAAAACATTCGTTGTCCAGCAGTTTGTAAACAAACAAAATGATCGTGTTTACTTGCCAAAGAGGTCATTTGAAAATGTGCACCTTCGGATGGCCACCAGGACTCAAGCGACGGCCATGCTGAAGGTGTGGGCCACCATAACATCCGATGGTGGCGCTCCTCTCGTATTAATCGACCGTAACATCAGAATAAATGCCGAATATTATCGCGAAAATATTCTGGAGGGTGTATTAAAGCCTTGGGACGAAAACATTTCACCACAGACCTTGGACATTCCAAGGTTTCCTCGCTTCATTTTCAGAGCACAATGGCCACAAAAATATCCGGATACCAATCCGTTGGACTATTGTTCCTGGAGTAATTTGGCAAGCAAGGTTGGCACAAAAAATATCAAAGTGTCGATCACCTCAAGCAAGCTCTTCGCCGGGAATGGGCCAAAATACCGCAGAGCAACATTCGGGTAGCGTGTAACAGTTTGAAGGTCATAATTCGTGCCAAAGGTGACCAATTCGAAATAATCTAAACTTATTCTAAAGTTTTATACCATTTCCGGCATTTTTTACTTTCATTTAATAAAATTAAAAAAAAAATGTAAAAATTAAGGCGTTTGACTTTGTTGCAGTTTTTTTTATCTCACTCTATATATACTTTGTGGGATCTAAAATGTATATTTCGAGGTGTTACAAACGGTATGAAAAACATACCCTCCATACTATGGTGGAGGGTATAAAAAATCAAGGCTTTGTTTAAAATGAAAGACTTTCAACAGAATTTCTTATTCCAGTATTCTAACGAAGAGAAATCTTGTTCAGGTCTTTTCGGGATCGAATAAAAATATTTTTTCATATCTTGTAGTGAAGAAATTCCTCTCTTGCAACCATTTTAATTATCAAAGCCTTAGCCTTCAAATTATAAATAAATAAAATCGAAAGAATTTAACAAATTTATGCTTAAAATTGTTTGCATTTGTTTTCTCCGAAATTGATTAAGTTCTTGTGGAAAATTTGCTAAGCATTCCTGACATAGTATCGAGCAATAAAATTTTAATATCCCTAGCAGAGAAACCAAAAAAAGAAAGAATATCATTTTTAAAAAATTTATTGAAGGCTATAATTGTTTCTTTTTCCTTCGCCGCCATTCGGAATGCAGTGAAAGTATGCCACAACATAAATATATCGCTTTGGCCAAATTGAAGCGATGAAAGATTAATTAATCGCCCAATTGCGCGGTTGTGAAAAATTGAACACCGGCCAGTCGTCCAGCACGCGCTAAGAACACATTGTCAGCCGACCCACCTCTGTGCTAATTATTCTGTGGCCAATTTGTGGGCCATCTTTCCGCTGTGGTATTTTGCACTCTTGGCAAAATATATACTACCACCGCTGACAATATAAAATATACGCGTGGGAAATATAAATTAAGTTGTTAATTTAAATAAATAGTAACAAAAAAAGGTATGGCAACATGTTGCGTGTTGAGGAATTAAACAATTTGCAGAACAATTTTAGGGGGGGTGGGGGATGATAAAAAAGAAAAATAAATGAATAAATATGTTTTTCATAAATATTTCATTTTCATGACCCGGGGAAAGCGGCTGAAGCATTCCGAAGACCCCCAAAGTATGAGATGAACAAGTTAAATTAAATCAATCGGTATTACCGACAGCTGCATATCCTCAGCCAATGTTCGATTATTTAAATATATTTTGACTTCTGTTATGATAATTCAAATTGTTGACCCTCTATGGAATGGTTCCGAAGGAATTATTGGCCCATTCCTCCCATTGTCCATTTGGTATAGGACCTAAATAAATACAGGGTGAAATACTGCAATGTTATTGAATGAGAGCAAAAAATGTCGGATACAGCATCAAATTTTAGAATAAGTTAATAAGTTTGTTCGAATTGGTCACCTTTGGCACAAATTTTGGACTTTAAACGGCAATGAAACCGTCACACACAGCCCGAATGTTGCTTTGCGGTATTTTGGCCCATTCCCGGCGAAGCGCTTGCTTGAGGTGATCGACACATTGGTATTTTTTAGTGCAAATCTTGCCTTCCAAAATACTCCAGATACAATAGTCCAACGGATTGGTATCCGGAGGTTTTGGTGGCTATTGTGCGCTAGAAATGAAGCAAGGAACCTCATTTTGTAATCATTCTTGGGTGGCGCGTGCTGAGTGCGATGGTGCTGTGGGTTCTGTTGGAATGTCCAAGGTCTGAGGTCAAAATGTTTGAGTGCCCAAGGCTTTCATACACCCTCCAGAATATTTTCGCTATAATATTCGGCATTTATTCTGATGCCACGGTGGAATAATACGCGTGGAGAGCGACAATCGGCTGTTATGGCGGCCCACAGCATCACCATGGCCAGCACTTGAGTTCTGGCAGTGGCCAACCGAAGGTGCACATTTTCAGCTGAGCTCTTTGGCAAGTAAACAAGATAATATTTTCTCATCGGAGAAAACCAAATTCGGAAGTTCACCACTTTCGGCCAAGCGAAGCAACTCTTTAGCTCCTTTAAATCTATTTTTCTATCTTTCTGTTGCGGTGCAAGTTCTTGCACTTTTTGAAATTTTAAAGGCTTTACCCCGAGCTCGTTTTTCAATATTTGCCGAATGGAATATTGCGATATGTTCAGCTCACGAGTCATTTTTCGGCCACTGCGACCCGGGTTTCGGTCGTTTCTGTACTTTTCGAACCGTTTCTGCTAATGTTGCTGTTTTCATCCGTCCACTTCCTTGCGACGTCAAGTATCACGGTAACGAGCGATGGTACGATACACAAACAATTTATTCACATTTAAATCCTGAAGTGCTCTAACGATAGCCACTTGTGGTTCTGCAACCAAATATAAAGAAATCCAAATATCACGCTTGAATGAAATCACGAATAACTTTTTATTCTGAAAAATTCTCCCCAAAATGCTTTTCTAAGCTTGTAAACAATGTAAGGAGCTGTCACTGGAATAATTTTAACAGCTGTCGGACGAGTGGCTTAGAAATGACAGCAGTCTGAAGTTGGTTGCAGTTTTCTCATCTCACCCTGTAGTAAGTCCGCAAATATTTTAAAAAGGTCTGCTATAATGGTTTTAAAATTTTTTGGAAAAAATATCTATAAAAAATCCACACTTTTCTAGTCCCTGGAAAAATAGTTTTAAAAAATCCACGCTTGGAAATAGTTTCTGGAAAAATAGTTTTAAAAAATCCACGCTTGGAAATAGTTTCTGGAAAATAGTTTTAAAAAATCCACGCTTGGAAATAGTCCCTGAAAAAAATATTTTTAAAAAATCCACGCCGTTCTAGTACCTGAAAAAAATATTTATAAAAAATCCACGCCTTACTAGTGCCTGAAAAAATATTTATAAAAAATCCACGCGTTTCTAGTCCCTGGAAAAAATATTTATAAAAAATCCACGCCTTTCTAGTGCCTGAAAAATATTTATAAAAAATCCACGCCTTTCTAGTACCTGAAAAAAAATATTTATAAAAAATCCACGCGTTTGTAGTCCCTGAAAAAGATATTTTTAAAAAATCCACGCCTTTCTAGTCCCTGAAAAAATATTTTTAAAAAATCCACGCCACGCCTAGTACCTGAAAGAAAATATTTATAAAAAATCCACGCCTTCCTAGTGCTTGAAAAAAATATTTATAAAAAATTCACGCATATATAGTCCCTAAAAAAATATTGATAAAAAATCCACGCCTTTCTAGTCCATGGAAAAAATATTTATAAAAAATCCACGCCTTTCTAGTCCATGGAAAAAATATTTATAAAAAATCCACGCCTTTCTAGTCCCTGGAAAAAGTATGTAAAATATGATGAAAAATATTTTTGTCTTCGACATCATCCTTCTAAAATGATGCTTTGTTGTCGTATAAAGTTTGGCGTTTAGGTCAGATTTACACTTGTGATGTCTTCTAGGGCCCATAGTAGAATTTTATGGTAAATAATTTTGGAGAATGTTTTGACTTGGTAAGGGAAGTTTTTTAATTACATTTAGAAAAAAAGGAACAAAAAGGTCCCTTTGTTGTCTCGCTTGAGGGTTAAAATATTTCTCATATTTTGATGTGCAATATTGCCAAGGACACAAGATACGTAAAATGCACGGATTCTGAGGAAAATTAATTCGAAAATTTCCAAAAATTCGGAAGAGGGCAGGGGACTTGCCCTCTCTATTTTGGTTTCTTTTCGATGTAAACTTTCAATACGGCGATTCACGTGTCTTCTTCTTTGTTTAGCGCTACTTTCATAACCTACTGGATTTTCCCCGTGTAATTTCCAGTCGGTCTGGTAGTCATGTTCTGAATGTGAATTTGTAAAACCACTTTAGTTCCAGATATTATTCCTAAGTCAGATTGTGGGGGAGCTGGGAAAAAAATTCTTAAAAATCCAAGTTCGCGGTAAAGCCTGAAAAACGTATTTTTTATCAAAACATTTATGCTTATCTGACTAACCAAAAAATATTCCTAAAATATCAAATACCGAATAGGGGAACCCCTTTGAGCTTTTTTTGTGTTCACACAAAAAAAATATATATATATGAATGTATGTGTGGACTTGTAAGATGTGCAAGCCGTTGTTTATTTTGCATACACGATTTTTTTGGTTTCGGGCATTTCCAAACCCATTGTTTTATATACTGATAACAACAATATTAAATATTTTTTTTTTAAATTGATAAAAATATTTGTTATTTTTGTTAAGAAAAAATACCCCCTTTTTTCTCGGTACAATTTTGTGGTGGTATAAAAACGCGAACATTGCCAAAAATATCCTCAGTCTATCGCCAAAATGCGAGCCGTAATTGTTTTGTGTACCCTAGCAGCGTTGGCTTGGAGTTCTCCCATTGAAAAGTGGCATCGAAGCAGTGATGGCTGTCTGTATTATGTGGAACACGAGATGAAGGTGAGGTGGAAAAAATAGTTGAATTAGGATCTGTAATTTTTAACTGCTTGATTTCCCAATGGACAGTTTAATTGGTATCAAGCCTGGGAGGAGTGTTTGAATAGGAATATGACCCTGATTACCCTGGACTCGTTCTATAAACAACAACAAATTGATGGTATAATTCAGATGAACTATGGTGAGTAGAGCCTAAAAAGAGGGTGGTATTATTTTTGATTTTAATTTTTTACAACCTCCACCATACTATGGAGGGTATATTAACTTCCGTTTGTAACTCCTCGAAATACTCATGTCAGACCCAACAAAGTATATATATTCATGATCAGGGTAAAATTCTAAGTCGATTTAGCCATGTCCGTCCGTCTGTCTGTCCGTCTATCCGTCTGTCTGTCATCTGTCTGTTGTAATCACGTTATCTTTCGAACGAATTGAGATAGAAGGCTAAAATTTTGCACACATGCTTACTTTGCCTGTAGGCAGATTAAGTTCGTAAATGGACCATTTAGGTCCACGTTTTCATATAGCCCCCATATAACGGTACCTCCCGATATTCGGTATTTTAATGATTTTAGCATCATTATTCACCGGAATCGTTTCAAATTTGGTATTTGAAGTTCAAAATGTATACTACAACCTAAGACAGAAAATTGTCTGTGCACGTCCACGTCTTCATATAGCCCCCATATAACATTACCTCCCAATATTCGGTATTTTGATGATTTTGGCGACATTATTCACCGGAATTGTTTCAAATTTGGTATTTGAAGTTCGTAATGGATGCTACAGCCTGTGACAGAAAATTGTCTGTGCAGGTCCACGTCTTCGTATAGCCCCCATATAACGGTACCTCCTGATATTCGGTATTTTGATGATTTTAGCGACATTATATACCGGAATGGTTTCAAATTTCGTATTTGAAGTTCGTAATGGGAACTACAGTCTGTGACAGAAAATTGTCTATGCAGGTCCAGGTTTTCGTACAGGCCTCATATATCAGTACCTCCCTATATTCGGTATTTTAACGATTTTAGGTACAATACTCACCGAAATTGTTTGAGATGTTGTATTTGAAGTTCGTGAATGGATGCTACAGTCTGTGACAGAAAATTGTCTGTGTAGGTCGAGGTCTTCGTATAGCCCCCCTATAATGGTACCTCCCAATATTCCGTATTTTGATGATTTTAGCCACATTATTCACCGTTTATTTCAAGTTTCGAATTTGAGTGTGGTAATGGCTCGTGACAAACAAAGCCTATGTAGGTTCACGTCGTAGAATTACAAGAATTTTTAACGGATTCTATTTTTCGAAAATTTTGAAATTTGTTCCAAATGGCGGAGGGAATTCTAAGTTCGGCCCGGCCGAACTTATTGCTTTTTAAATTGTTATTCTATTTTATCGTATCTCTTTGTAGCCAAAAAATTGACATTCTGGATGGCAGCCCATGACAATGCCGTGGATAAACGCCATACCTGGGCAACAACGGGTAAAATATTATCGTTCACCAATTGGGCCAAGGATCAACCGAATTACGCTGCCAATGATCATTGCCTTTTGACTCACGACAGCACTGGGCAATGGCATGATTTTCCATGCACCAGCAAACTGGGATTCGTGTGCGAAATTCTACAGTGTACCAATACCAAGTCTGGAGATTTGGAAAATGGAGAATTGTCCAAAGAATTGAAAAAATACAATGTTAATATATGGAATCTATTGGGTAGTCATAGATAAATAAAGGCGAAGAACACATCAAAGACAAATAAAATGAGCGAAAAAGTATCAGTCGATTTTGCCGACAGATGCATACCCTCAGCCAATGTTCGATTATTTAAATATATTTTGACTTGTGCTATGATCATTCAAATTATTTTGACTTCTGCTATGATTATTCAAATTTTTGACCCTCTATGGAGCAGGTTTCGCGAAGGAATGGACCAATATTGTCCATTTCGTATCGGACCTAAATAAATAAGATATAAATATTGCGGCGTGCCAGGTTTGGACTATATCAACAACCTCCTTCACTTTATATGAGATATGTGATAATTTTTAGAAAATGTTAAAATAAGCGTGAGGTACACTTATGGGGTTCGCAGATATTTATCATCTTTACAACAGATCTTTTGTAAGCAATAATATTTGCATGTGTGAAATTTAAAGAGAGTTAGATGCGTATTTCGCCTTCTTTGAGGGTTTTGTTTATCATAATCTTGAGGTAAGGTACCAGAACAAATGGTCCCATCCTTCCCATATTTATAATAGATCTTGTGTTGATGGAAATATTAAGATGTGCCACGTCGAAATGGAATCGGATGTCAATTAGCATTTTATGAGTTTCATGGATATTAAACATTTTGAGCCTTTGTGGGGCAGGTACCAGAAAGAGTGCGCCGATACATCTCATTTTCACAGCAGATCTTGTGTTAATAGAAATAATGGGATGTGTGAAATATGAATAAGAACCGGATGCTTATTTCGGATTTTATGATAATTTTGGTTATTAAAAATGTTAACCCTTTGTGGGGAAGGTACCAGAAGGAATTGCCCGATCTCTACCATCTTTATAACAGATCTGGTGATGATGGAAATACAAAGATTTGCAAAGTCTGAATGGAATTGGATCTTAATTTCATGGATATTCAAAATGTTGACCCTTTGTGGGGGAGGTACCAGAAGGTGTTGACCGATATATTCCATCTTCACAGCAGATCTTGTCTTAATATAAATAATGGGATTTGTGAAATGTGGAGAGAATCGGATACTTATTTCGGCTTTTATGATCGTTTTGGCTATTCAAAACGTTGACCCTTTGTGGGGAAGGTACCAGAAGGAATGGTCCGATCTCCACCAACTTTATAAGAGATCTTGTATTGATGGAAATATGGGGATGTACCAAGTCTGAATAAAATCTGATGTTAAATTCGCATTTTGTGAGCTTCATTGATATTCAAAATTTTGAGCCTTTGTTGGGGAGGTACCAGAAGGAGTGGTCCAATATATTCCATCTATACAGCAGATCTTGTGTTAGTAAAAATAATGGGATGTGTGTAATTTGAAGACAATCGGACTCTTACATCACAATCTATGAGAGTTATATATATATATATACAGGGTGAGATGAAAACACTGCAACCAACTTCAGACTACTGTCATTTCTAAGCTACTCGTCCGGCAGCTGTTAAAATTATTCCAGTGACAGCTCATTATATTGTTTACAAGCGTACAGCAGCATATTGGTGGAAATTTTCCAGAAAAAAAAAAACGATTCGTGATGGAATTCAAGCGTGATAGTGTCATTTCTTTATATTTGGCTGGAAAACCACAAGTGGCTACCGTTAGAAATCTCCAGCATTTAAATCTGAATAAATCTTTTGTGTCTCATACCATCGCTCGTTACCGTGATACTTGTAGCGTAGCCCGACGTCAAGGAAGTAGACGGCAGAAAAAAGCAACAAAATCAGCAGAAATGGTCCGAAAGTTAAAGAAGCGACTTGATCGAAACCCGCGTCGCAGTAAACGAAAAATGGCTCGTGAGCTGAACGAATCGCAATATTCCATTCGGCAAATATTGAAAAATGAGTTCGGGGTAAAGCCATTGAAATTCCAAAGAGTGCAAAAACTTACACCGCAACAGAAAGCAAATAAACTCAAAAGACCTAAAGAGTTGCTTCGCCGAATTTGATTTTATCCAATGATGATGAACAATGGTTGTCCAGGAGTTTGTAAGCAAGCAAAATGATCGGTTGGTCACCAGAACTCAAGTGCCGGCCATGGTGATGGTGTGGACCGCTCGTATTAATCGACGGTGACATCAGAATAAATGCAGAATATTATCGCGAAAATATTCTGGAGGGTGTATTAAAGCCTTGGGCACGCAAACATTTTACCCGCAGACCTTGGACATGCCAACAGGACTTAGCGCCACCCAAGAATGGTTACAAAATGAGGTTCCTCACTTCATTTCCAGCGCACAATGACCACCAAAATTTCCGGATACCAATCCGTTGGACCATTGTGTCTGGAGTAATTTGGAAAGCAAGTTTGGCCTTAAAACATACCAAAGTGTCGATTACCTCAAGCAAGCGTTTTGCCGGGAATGGGCCAAAATACCGCAGAGCAAAATTCGGGCAGGGTGTGACGATTTCAATCGCCGTTTGAAGGCCATAATTCGTGCCAAAGGTGACCAATTCGAACAAATCTAAACGTATTTTAAAATTTGATGCTATTTCCGAAGTTTTTTTGCTTTCATTCAATAAAATTTTGAAAAAATTTAAAAATTATGGCGTTTGACTTTGTTGCAGATTTTTTTTTTATTTTATATTTATATTCAAAATTTTGATGAGTGGACCCCACTATTGACCATTTTCGCACATGACCTAGCATTGATGTAAATATTAGGATTTGCAAAGTTGGAGCAAAATCGGATTATTTTCTTTCTGTGAAGTAAAATATTTTTTTTGGAAAATGTTTATCTTTTGTGGGGGACGTACCCGAAGAAGTGGACCGACAGTGCCCATCTCCGAACTCGATCTAAGTTTGATAATAATATTACGATGTACCAAGTTTGGATCAAATCGGATACTCCCCTCGAGAGTTATCGTGCGCACCAGCCAGCCAGACAGACAGACAGATGGGTATCTCTAGAGCGATTCCAAATGCCCTGAAACGGATTTGGTTTTAAACGTAGGGTCTAAAAACGTTATTTCAACGTTTTGGCCGTATCAAATGATATATACTCTCTGTAGCCGTATCGTTGAGGGTATAAAAATCGAACATTGCCTGAGGGTACATCTGTTGGCAAAATCGACTGATATTTTCTAAACTGTTTTTGTTTTTTTTTCTTTTTTTTTTTTTCGAATTTTATAAATTTTTGAATTTATCTCGAAGTCTGTATAAATGCCACTTAGTAGCATAAAGCTCAAGATATAAACAATGTATTTAACATTGTATCCGTTGCTCAGACTTCATGTATATGGCTGATAAGGGCTTTATTTTTTCATTGTTTACACATTTAAAAACCTTCGACATCCTGCAATTGTTTCAGTTCAAAAATTGAAATGATTCGAACAATACTGCTGGGGATAGCGCTGGCCATCCAACTGTACTGCGTAGCTGGTTCGAGATTTGTGAAAACTGGTGATGGCGAAGTGTTCTATATTGAACCCGCAAATAAGGTATAATGAGTCCTGTTTTGGATATGGATTTTCCAAAATTCCAAGTGTAATTTGGAAATTGGTTTTGAAAATATATTAAAATCGCTTATATCTTCCAGTTCACTTGGTACCAGGCTTTGAGTGATTGCGTACGCCTGAATATGGCTCTGGTGGCCGTTGATTCAGAGGGTAAACGTCAAAGGCTGGCCAATCTGATATCTCCAGAAGATGGAGCCTCTCATCTATGGACAGGTGGTCATGACAACACAAATAGTCGGAAATTTGAATGGATATCGAATAGTCAATTATTTGACTACACCAATTGGTTTAAAGGAGAACCGAACGATAAAAAAGAACGTTGTGTGGAAATGATATATCCCAATCTGAACTGGAATGATGCACCTTGTGATGTACAACGTGGCTATGTCTGTGAAGAGATACCTGCGGTGGCAGAGAAAAGAAGAGAAATAATACTCTTGAAAGAAGTCTATGAAAATCGAATGGACCGAAGCGCTATAGAAGTTGAAGAGTATATGTCTAAACACATCAAGGATATCAAAGAGGATATAAATCATTGGGGTAAAAACCTTGATGAAAAATTATCTCAGCTATTAGATGCTGGTGGGTGGTCGAGAAATTATCCATCTTATGGAAATACTGGGCAACCTTGGTGGGAGACCACTACCAATTCGGCCGAAACAGTTGAGATGGAATCGACCACCACTGAATTGCCACCCAGATATGATGGCTATCGTTGGTATTCATCACATTCGTTTTTCCAAGGCCCTGCAGATGTAACAGCTGAAACATCGTATATAGATGAAACCACCGAAACGATAACGGATGAGTCGCCCAGATATGATGGTTATCGTTGGCCTCCACCACTTTCGTTTTACCAAGCCCCCGAAGATGAAACGACTGACACATCGCATATAGATGAAACCACCGAAGCGATAACGGATGAGTCGCCCACAATGCAGCCATTTATCAGATTTCGTGGATCCCATTGGCCTTATCGCTCTTACCATACGAATGCAGCCGATACCCCCAAAATATCAAATATAAACGAATACCCATCAATGGCCAACACGCAATTGTCATCCTCCAATAATGAATATCAAAAGTCCTACTTTCAGATGTATCGAAATTCTCTCCATACGCCCGAGACCAGAATGCCACCAGCTACAAATTCTCTCACGCTAGCGAATGTTAAACAATTGACCGATTCATTGAAGGAAACGAATGAAAAGCTAAACATTTTGCTTCATAAACTTGGGGAAAATCAAAATATTCAAAAGCCTTCTAAAATTTTTTATAATTTCTACTAAGGGCAGTATGAGCGGGATGATGCATCACGCAATTTTATATCAAATCGTAAAATACAGTTTTTATTTTTAACATTTTATTCCTTTGTACCACTCAAAACTATTAAAAAAATACTCAAAAATTTAAATGAATAAAAAATTAAAAAAAAAACATTTTTGATAGACCCTGTTATTACAGGGTGAGATAAAAAAACTGCAACAAAGTCAAATGCCATAACTTTTACATTTTTTTAAAATTTTACTGAAGGAAAGCCAAAAATTTCGGAAATAGCATCAAATTTTGGAATAAGTTTAGATCTGTACGAATTATGGCCCTCAAACCGCCAATGAAACCGTCACTCGCTGCCCGGATGGTGCTCTGCGGAATTTTGGCCCATTCCCGGCGGATCGCTTGCTTAAGGTAATCAACACTTCGGTATTTTTTAGTGCCAACCTTGCTTTTCAAAATAGTCCAGGCACAATAGTCCAACGGATTGGCATCCGGAGATTATGGTGGAGAAGCGAGTAACCTCATTTTGTAACCATTTTGTTGGGTGGCGCGTACTGAGTCCTGTTGGAATGTCCAAGGTCTGCAGCCAAAATGTTTGCATGCCCATGTATTTAATACACCCTCCAGAATATTTTCGAGACAATATTCGGCATTTATTCTGATGCCACGGTCGATTCATACGAGCGGAGAGCGGCCATCGGCTGTTATGACGCTCCACACCATCAGCATGGTCGGCGCTTGAGTTCTGGTGGCCAACCGAAGTGCACATTCTCAGCTGACCTCTTTACCCCGAACTCATTTTTCAATATTTGGCGAATGGAATATTGCGATATTTTCAAATATATTGCGATATCTGTGCAAAAATTTAACTATTATTGGGTGGCGCGTGCTGAGTCCTGTTGGAATGTCCAAAGTCTGCGGCCAAACTGTTTACTTGAGTTCTGGTGACCAACCGAAGGTGCACATTCTCAGCTGACCTCTTTGGCAAGAAAACACGATCATTTTTTTTTACAAACTGCAGGACAACGAATGTTGTCTCATCGGAGAAAACCAAATTCGGCAGTTCACCACTTTCGGCTAAGCGAAGCAACTCTTTAGATCTTTTGAATTTATTTTCTTTCTGTTGCGGTGTAAGTTCTTGCACTTTTTGGAATTTTAATAGCTTTACCCCCCAGCTCATTTTTCAATATTTGCCGAATGCAATATTGCGATATGTTCAGCTCACGAGCCATTTTTCGGCCACTGCTACGCGGGTTTCGATCAAGTCGCTTCTTTACTTTTTGAACCATTTCTCCTGATTTTGTTGCTGTTTTCTTCCGTCCACTTCCTTGACGTCGGGCTACGCTACCAGTATCACGGTAACGAGCGATGTTGCGAGACACAAAAGATTTATTCACATTTAAATGCTGGAGTGCTCTAACGATAGCCACTTGTGGTTTTCCAGCCAAGTATAAAGAAATCACACTATCACGCTTGAATTCCATCACGAATATCTTCTTTTTCTGGAAAATTCCCACCAAAATGCTTTTGTAGGCTTGTGAACAATATAATGAGCTGTCACTGGAATAATTTTAACAGCTGTCGGACGAGTGGTTTAGAAATGACAGCAGTCTGAAGTTGGTTGTAGTTTTGTCATCTCGCCCGGTAGTAAATCCGCAAATATTTTAAAAAGGTCTGCTATGATGGTCTAATATTTGAAATAATCGCTGGAAAAATTATTTTTAAAAATTCCACGCTGGGCAATTGTCGCTGGAAAAATTATTTTTAAAAATTCCACGCTGGGCAATTGTCGCTGGAAAAAATATTTTTAAAAATTCCACGCTGGGCAATTGTCGCTGGAAAAAATATTTATAAAAAATTCACGCTTGGAAGTAGACCCAGGAAAAAATATTTATAAAAAACCCACGAGTTTCTAGTCCCTGGAAAAAATATTTTTAAAAAATCCAAGCTTGGAAACATTTCCTGGAAAAAGTATTTTTAAAAAATCCAAGCTAGGCAATAGTCCCTGGAAAAAATATTTTTAAAAAATCCACGCCTTTCCAGTTCCTGGAAAAATATTTTTAAAAAATCCACGCTAGGTAATAGTCCCTGGAAAAAATATTTTTAAAAAATTCATGCTTGGAAGAAGACCCAGGAAAAAATATTTCTAAAAAACCCACGAATTTCTAGTCCCTGGAAGAATATTTTTAAAAAATCCACGCCTGGAAAAAATATTTAAAAAAAATCAACGTCTTTCTAGTCCCTGGAAAAAATATTTATAAAAAAATCCACGCCTTTCCAGTCCCTGGAAAAAATAGTTATAAAAAATCCACGCCTTTCTAATCCCTGGAAAAAATATTTATAAAAAATTCACGCCTTTCTTGTCCATGGAAAGAATATTTATAAAAAATCCACGCTATGCAATAGTCCCTGGAAAAAATATTTATAAGAAATCCACGCCATTCTAGTCTTTGGAAAAAATATTTAAAAAAAATCCAAGCCTTTCTAGTCCCTGGAAAAATATTTATAAAAAATCCAAGCCTTTCTAGCCCCTGGAGAAAATATTTCTAAAAAATCCACGCCTTTCCAGTCCCTGAAAATGTTTTATAAAAAATTCACGCCTTTGTAGTCCCTGGAAAAATATTTACAAAAAATCCACCCTCGGAAATAGTTCCTGGAAAAATTATTTATAAAAAAAACCACTCCTTTCTAGTCCCTGGAAAAATATTTAAAAAAATCCACGTCTTTCTAGTCCCTGGAAAAAATATTTATTAAAAAATCACGCTTGGAAATAGACCCAGGAAAAAATATTTATAAATAACCCACGCATTTCTAATCACTAGAAAATATTTATAAAAAATCCAAGCTTTGAAAACGTCCCTGGAAATAATACTTTGAAAAAATTCACGCTTGGAAATAGTCCTTGGAAAAAAATATTTTTAAATAATCCACGCTTGGAAATATTCCCTGGAAAAAATATCTTTAAAAAAATCCACGTCTTTCTAGTCCCTTGAAAAAATATTTTTAAAAAATCCACTCCTTTCTAGTCCCTGCAATTTTTGTTTAAATCCACACCTTTCTAGTCCCTGGAAAAAATATTTATAAAAAATGTACGACCTTCTAGTCCCTGAAAAGAAATATTTCTAAAAAATGCTTGGAAATAGTCTCCTGGACTTTCCCCATAATTCTCGAAAAAATTGATTTTTGTCGCATTGCGTTTTGTTTAAAGCCTTCTATTGATAAAAGACCTCTTCTATGGCCCAGTGTAGGGCACACAATTTCCAATAAGTTTTTTTTTTTTTTTTTGTAATTTTTATATTGCATAAAAAGGCAAAACCCAGCAGAAAATTCCGATAAATTTCGTTTCTTATCATCTTGAGTGAGCAAATGAAAAATATTTATTTATTTACAAGCGATTTCCAAGCTTAGTTTTAGTTGAGATATTGAAATGCAGGCAAGAGGAACACTACTGTGGACGTTACTGGCTGTTCAGCTTTTGTGGGTGGCCGGCTATAGCAAATTCGTTACGACCAGTGACGGTAATAGTTACTATGTCGAATATTCCATGGCGGTAAGTTTAAGTCTCAGTGCGATATATATCCAAATCTAAAATTTTAAAAATTTCCCAGTATTCCTGGTACGAAGCCTTGAGTGCATGTGCGAGGCTTAATATGACACTACTAACTGTGGACTCGTATTCCAAGCGGATGCAACTGGATGCTCTGCGACTTTGTAAGCCACAGTGCCATAAATATACACCCCTACATTTGTCGAAAATAATTTTCAATATTTTCAGCTGCAAACGCCCAGGTTTGGATTGGCGGACATGACCTCAAAAGCAGCCGATCATTTGAATGGATATCGAATGGTAAATCATTTGACTACACAAACTGGTAGAGTGGCGAACCGAATAGCAAAGAAGAGAACTGTGTGGAAATGACATTCCCCGCGCTGGGATGGAACGATGTACGCTGTAGCAAGTTTCGAGGCTTTATATGTGAAGAAACCCCGGCAGCGAAAGAAAAGAATCAGGAAATAAAGAAGTTAAAAGAAGAACTGGAACGGTCACAGCAAGGATGTCGGAATCATTGGTAAAGATTGATGGTAAACTAAAGGGGTTACTCGATAATGTAACATCAATTCAGGAGATGACCTCAAATCGAAATACCACAAATAGGTATTATTATATTTATTTTTGAGTACGTCGCTCACTTTTCTGTTATACCACATATATATGTAAAATGAAAATAGATTTTCTATGCAATAAATAATCAAAAAAAAAAAAAAAAAAATGAAAAAAAAATTAAATAGGAAATATGGAGGGTGAGATGAAAAAATATAACCAACTTCAGACTGCTGTCATTTCTAAGTCACTCGTCCGACAGCTGTAAAAATTATTCCAGCGACAGTTCATCATATTGTTTACAAGCGTACAAAAGCATTTTGGTGAGAAATTTCGAGAAAAAAATTATTCGTCATGGAATTCAAGCGTGATAGTGACATTTCTTTCCGACAAATATAAAGAAATCACACTATCACGCTTCAATTCCATCACGAATAACTTTTTTTCTGGAAATTCTCTCCAAAATGCTTTTGTACGCTTGTAAACAATATAATGAGCTATCACTAGAATAATTTTAACAGCTGTCGGACGAGTGGTTTAGAAATGACAGCAGTCTGGAGTTGGTTGCAGTTTTCTCATCTCACCCTGGAGTAAGTCGGCAAATATTTTGAAAAGGTCTGCTATAATGGTCTAATATTCGAAATAGTCCCTGAAAAAAATATTTTTAAAAAATCGACGACGGGCAATAGTCGTTGGAAAAATAATTTTTAAAAAATCCGCGCTAGGCATTAGTCGCTGGAAAAATATTTTAAAAAAAATCACTCTAGGCAATAGTCCCTGGAAAAATACTTATAAAAAATCCACACTTTGTAGTCCCTGCAAAAATTTTTATAAAAAATCCAGGCCTTTCTAGTCCTTGGAAAAAATATTAAAAAAAAAATCCACGCCTTTCTAGTCCTTGGAAAAAATATTTAAAAAAATCCACGTCTTTCTAATCCTTAGAAAAAATATTTTTAAAAAAAATCCACGGCTTTCTAGTCCCTGAAAAAAATATTTATAAAAAATCCACGCCTTTCTAGTCCCTGGAAAAATATTTATACAAAATCCACGGCTTTCTAGTCCCTGAAAAAAATATTTATAAAAAATCCACTCTTGGAAGTAGACCCTGGAAAAAATATTTATAAAAAATCCACTCTTGGAAGTAGACCCTGGAAAAAATATTTATGAAAAATCCACTCTTGGAAGTAGACCCTGGAAAAAATATTTATAAAAAATCCACGCCTTTCTAGTCCCTGGAAAAAATATTTATAAAAAATCCAAGCTTGGAAGTAGACCCTGGAAAAAATATTTATAAAAAATCCACGCCTTTCTAATCCCTGGAAAAAATATTTATAAAAAATCCACGCTTGGAAGAAGACCCTGGAAAAAATATTTATAAAAAATCCACGCCTTTCTAGTCCCTGGAAAAAATATTTATAAAAAATCCACGCCTTTCTAGTCCCTGGAAAAAATATTTATAAAAAATCCACGCCTTTCTAGTCCCTGGAAAAAATATTTATAAAAAATCCACGCCTTTCTAGTCCCTGGAAAAAATATTTATAAAAAATCCACGCCTTTCTAGTTCCTGGAAAAAATATTTATAAAATTTTGTCGCATTGCGTTTTGTTGAAAGCCTTCTATGGATAAAAGACCTCTTCTTTGGCCCAGTGTAGGGCACACAATTCCCAATAAGTTTTTTTTTTTTTTGTAATTTTTATATTGCATAGAAAGGCAAAACCCAGCAGAAAATTCCGATAAATTTCGTTTCTTATCATCTTGAGTGAGCAAATGAAAAATATTCATTTATTTACAAGCGATTTCCAAGCTAAGTTTTAGTTGAGATATTGAAATGCAGGCAAGAAGAACACTACTGTGGACGTTACTGGCTGTTCAGCTTTTGTGTGTGGCCGGCTATAGCAAATTCGCTACGACCAGTGACGGTAATAGTTACTATGTCGAAACATCCATGGCGGTAAGTTTAAGTCTCAGTGCGATATATATCCAAATCTAAAATTTTAAAAATTTCCCAGTTTTCCTGGTACGAAGCCTTGAGTGCCTGTGCGAGCCTTAAAATGACACTACTAACTGTGGACTCGTATTCCAAGCGGATGCAAGTGGATGCTCTGCGACTTTGTAAGCCACAGTGCCCTAAATCTACACCCCTACATTGGCCGAAAATAATTTTCAATATTTTCAGCTGCAAACGCCCAGGTTTGGATTGGCGGACATGACCTCAAAAGCAGCCGATCATTTGAATGGATATCGAATGGTAAATCATTTGACTACAGAAACTGGTACAGTGGCGAACCGAATAGCAAAGAAGAGAACTGTGTGGAAATGACTTTCCCCGCGCTGGGATGGAACGATGTACGCTGTAGCAAGTTTCGAGGCTATATATGTGAAGAAACCCCGGCAGCGAAAGAAAAGAATCAGGAAATAAAGAAGTTAAAAGAAGAACTTGCCAGAAAAGCTGTCCTCTTGGATGAAAGGGCGAAAAAAGTGCAACAATTGGAAAGGGAAAAGAAAGAAATTGAAGAAACCAAAGCAATGGATTCCAAAGGGCTTGTGGAGGCAATGAATCGTGGTAAAAATTCTATTAACGAACAGCTGTCACGGCTATTGAATGTGGCGTTGAATCAAACAGCTTTGATTTCTTCCCACAAAGAGATGCTGATGTCCTTGAAACGAGGCCAGGATGAGATCAGAGAATATGCCAAACGTTTGGGATCAGAGGCACTAATTGCACAGTCCACGGTCACAGCAAGGATGTCGGAATCATTGGCAAAGATTGATGGTAAACTAAAGGGGTTATTCGATAATGTAACATCAATTCAGGAGATGTCCTCAAATCGAAATACCACAAATAGGTATTATTATATTTATTTTTGAGTACGTCGCTCACTTTTCTGTTATAGCAAATAAATGTAAGAGGAAAAAAGATTTTTCTATGCAATAAATAATTAAAAAAACACGATCTGTTGGTCCTCAAAATACGTTTTCTTTAAAAAAAACGTCCTGTTGGTCCTCAAAATACGTTTTCTTTAAAAAAACGTCCTGTTGGTCCTTGAAAAAAAAAAAACTCTTTAAAAAATCCACGTCCTGTTGGTCCTTGCAAAAATACTACTCAAAAAACCACGTTCTGTTGATACTGGAAAAAATACTACTCTTTAAAAAATCCACGTTCTGTTGGTCCTTGAAAGATTATATCCTTTAAAACTTCACGTTTCTGTTGATGCTTGAAAGAATATATCTTTTAAAAATCCACGTTTCTGTTGATCCTTGAAAGAATATATAATTAAAAATCCACGTTTCTGTTGATCCTTGAAAAAATATATCCACGTTTCTGTTGATCCTTAAAAAATATTCTTTTAAAAATCTGCATATAGAAATTCTCAAAATATTTCAACATTTTTTCTATAAAAATATTTAAAAAAAATCTTAAAAAAATTCAATGAACTTCACACTGCTGTCATTTCTAAGTCACTCGTCCGACAGCTGTAAAAATTATTCCAGCGACAGTTCATCATATTGTTTACAAGCGTACAAAAAATTTTTGGTGAGAAATTTCCAGAAAAAAATTATTCGTCATGGAATTCAAGCGTGATAGTGGCATTTCTTTCAGACAAATATAAAGAAATCACACTATCACGCTTGAATTCCATCACGAATAACTTTTTTTCTAGAAAATTCTCTCCAAAATGCTTTTGTACGCTTGTAAACAATATAATGAGCCATCACTGGAATAATTTTAACAGCTGTCGGACGAGTGGTTTAGAAGCGACAGCAGTCTGAAGTTGGTTGTAGTTTTCTCATCTCACCCGGTAGTAAATCCGCAAATATTTTAAACAGGTCTGCTATAATGGTCGAATATTTGAAATAGTCGCAGAAAAAAATATTTTTAAAAACTCCACGCTGGGCAATAGTCGCTGGAAAAAATATTTTAAGAAAATCCACGATAGGCAATAGTCGCTAGAAAAAACATTTTTAAAAATCCACGCTATGCAATAGTCGCTGGAAAAAATATTTTAAAAAAATCCACTCTTTGAAATATTCCCTGGAAAAAATATATAAAAAATCAACGTCTTTCTAGTCCCTGGAAAAAACATTTTTAAAAAATCCACGCCTGGAAAAAATATTTATAAAAAATCCACGCCTTTCTAGTCCCTGGAAAAAATATTTATAAAAAAATCCACGCATTTCTAGTCCCTGGAAAAAACATTTTTAAAAAATCCACGCCTTTCTAGTCCCTGGAAAAAATATTTATAAAAAATCCAAGCCTTTCTTGTCGATGGAAAGAATATATAAAAATCCACGCCTTTCTAGTTCCTGGAAAAATATTTATAAAAAATCCACGACTGGAAGTAGACCCTGGAAAAAATATTTATAAAAAATCCACGCCTTTCTAGTCCTTAAAAAAAAAATTAAAAAAATCCACGCCTTTCTAGTCCTTGGAAAAAATATCCACGCCTTTCTAGTCCCTGGAAAAAATGTTTATAAAAAATCCACGCCTTTCTAGTCCCTAGAAAAAATGTTTATAAAAAATCCACGCCTTTCTAGTCCCTAGAAAAAGTATTTATAAAAAATCCACGCCTTTCTAGTCCCTAGAAAAAGTATTTATAAAAAATCCACGCCTTTCTAGTCCCTGGAAAAAATATTTATAAAAATCCACGCCTTTCTAGTCCCTGGAAAAAATATTTATAAAAAATCCACGCCTTTCTAGTCCCTGGAAAAAATATTTATAAAAAATCCACGCCTTTCTAGTCCCTGGAAAAAATATTTATAAAAAATCCACGCCTTTCTAGTCCTTGAAAAAAAAAATTAAAAAAATCCACGCCTTTCTAGTCCCTGGAAAAAATATTTATAAAAAATCCACGCCTTTCTAGTCCCTGGAAAAAATATTTATAAAAAATCCACGCCTTTCTAGTCCCTGGAAAAAATATTTATAAAAAATCCACGCCTTTCTAGTCCCTGGAAAAAGTATTTATAAAAAATCCACGCCTTTCTAGTCCCTGGAAAAAATATTTATAAAAAATCCACGCCTTTCTAGTCCCTGGAAAAAATATTTATAAAAAATCCACGCCTTTCTAGTCCCTGGAAAAAATATTTATAAAAAATCCACGCCTTTCTAGTCCCTGGAAAAAATATTTATAAAAAATCCACGCCTTTCTAGTCCTTGAAAAAAAAATTAAAAAAATCCACGCCTTTCTAGTCCTTGGAAAAAATATTTAAAAAAATCCACGCCTTTCTAGTCCCTGGAAAAATATTTATAAAAATCCACGGTTTTCTAGTCCCTGAAAAAAATATTTATAAAAAATCCACGCCTTTCTAGTCCTTGAAAAAAAAAAATTAAAAAAATCCACGCCTTTCTAGTCCTTGGAAAAAATATTTAAAAAAATCCACGCCTTTCTAGTCCCTGGAAAAATATTTATAAAAAATCCACGGTTTTCTAGTCCCTGAAAAAAATATTTATAAAAAATCCACGCCTTTCTAGTCCCTGGAAAAATATTTATAAAAAATCCACGGCTTTCTAGTCCCTGAAAAAAAAATTTATAAAAAATCCAGGCCTTTCTAGTCCCTGAAAAAATATTTATAAGAAATCCACGCCTTTCTAGTCCTTGGAAAAAATATTTATAAGAAATCCACGCCTTTCTAGTCCTTGGACAAAATATTAAAAAAAAATCCTCGCCTTTCCAGTCCTTGGAAAAAATATTTAAAAAAAAATCCACGTCTTTCTAGTCCCTGGAAAAATATTTATAAAAAATCCACGGCTTTCTAGTCCCTGTAAAAAATATTTATAAGAAATCCACGCCTTCTTGTCCTTGGACAAAATATTAAAAAAAAAAATCCTCGCCTTTCTAGTCCCTGTAAAAAATATTTATAAGAAATCCACGCCTTTCTAGTCCTTGGACAAAATATTTAAAAAAAAATCCTCGCCTTTCCAGTCCTTGGAAAAAATATTAAAAAATCCACGCCTTTCTAGTCCTTGGAAAAAAATATTTATAAAAAATCCACGCCTTTCTAGTCCCTGGAAAAATATTTATAAAAAATCCACGGCTTTCTAGTCCCTGAAAAAAATATTTATAAAAAATCCAGGCCTTTCTAGTCCCTGGAAAAATATTTATAAAAAATCCACGGCTTTCTAGTCCCTGAAAAAAATATTTGTAAAAAATCCACGCCTTTCTAGTCCCTGGAAAAAATATTTATAAAATTTTGTCGCATTGCGTTTTGTTGAAAGCCTTCTATGGATAAAAGACCTCTTCTTTGGCCCAGTGTAGGACACACAATTCCCAATAAGTTTTTTTTTTTTTTTTTTTGTAATTTTTATATTGCATAGAAAGGCAAAACCCAGCAGAAAATTCCGATAAATTTCGTTTCTTATCATCTTGAGTGAGCAAATGAAAAATATTCATTTATTTACAAGCGATTTCCAAGCTAAGTTTTAGTTGAGATATTGAAATGCAGGCAAGAAGAACACTACTGTGGACGTTACTGGCTGTTCAGCTTTTGTGGGTGGCCGGCTATAGCAAATTCGTTACGACCAGTGACGGTAATAGTTACTATGTCGAAACATCCATGGCGGTAAGTTTAAGTCTCAGTGCGATATATATCCAAATCTAAAATTTTAAAAATTACCCAGTTTTCCTGGTACGAAGCCTTGAGTGCCTGTGCGAGCCTTAAAATGACACTACTAACTGTGGACTCGTATTCCAAGCGGATGCAACTGGATGCTCTGCGACTTTGTAAGCCACAGTGCCATAAATCTACACCCCTACATTGGCCGAAAATAATTTTCAATATTTTCAGCTGCAAACGCCCAGGTTTGGATTGGCGGACATGACCTCAAAAGCAGCCGATCATTTGAATGGATATCGAATGGTAAATCATTTGACTACACAAACTGGTACAGTGGCGAACCGAATAGCAAAGAAGAGAACTGTGTGGAAATGACTTTCCCCGCGCTGGGATGGAACGATGTACGCTGTAGCAAGTTTCGAGGCTATATATGTGAAGAAACCCCGGCAGCGAAAGAAAAAAATGAGGAAATAAAGAAGTTAAAAGAAGAACTGGCCAGAAAAGCTGTCCTCTTGGATGAAAGGGCGAAAAAAGTGCAACAATTGGAAAGGGAAAAGAAAGAAATTGAAGAAACCAAAACAATGGATTCCAAAGGGCTTGTGGAGGCAATGAATCGTGGTAAAAATTCTATTAACGAACAGCTGTCACGGCTATTGAATGTGGCGTTGAATCAAACAGCTTTGATTTCTTCCCACAAAGAGATGCTGATGTCCTTGAAACGAGGCCAGGATGAGATCAGAGAACATGCCAAACGTTTGGCATCAGAGGCAGTAATTGCACAGTCTGCGGCCACAGCAAAGATTTCGGAATCATTGGCAAAGACGGATGGTAAACTAAAGGGGTTACTCGATAATGTAACATCAATTCAGGAGATGACCTCAAATCGAAATACCACAAATAGGTATTATTATATTTATTTTTGAGTACGGCGCTCACTTTTCTGTTATACCACATATATGTGTAAAATGAAAATAGATTTTCTATGCAATAAATAATCAAAACAAAAATTGAAAAAAAAAAAAATAAATAGGAAATATACAGGGTGAGATGAAAAAAATATAACCAACTTCAGACTGCTGTCATTTCTAAGCCACTCGTCCGACAGCTGTAAAAATTATTCCAGCGACAGTTCATTATATTGTTTACAAGCGTACAAAAGCATTTTGGTGAGAATTTTTCAGAAAAAAAGTTATTCGTGATCGAATGCAAGCGTGATAGTGTGATTTCTTTATATTTGGCTGGAAAACCCCAAGTGGTTATCGTTAGAGCACTACAGCATTTAAATGTGAATAAATCTTTTGCGTCGCGTACCGTCGCTCGTTACCGTGATACAGGTAGCGTAGCCCGACTTCACGGAAGTAGACGGAAGAAAACAGAAACATCA